TATTAATTTAATGTATATTATGTGAAATTTAACTAATCAAGGGTCAGTGGTCACGAATGAAATAACTGAACACTTTTAATTGCTATCATTTCATCAACAGTTGATCATTAGAGCAGTAGAGTTCAGAGGGGAAAGAATTGTTTTAGTGTCAGTTGAAGCAAAATACAAATTAAAAAGTGCTACACATTGTTTTCCATAAGGAGTTCAACTCTTAATGCGTTCATCAATAGTCCAGAAATTTACGCGCTTAACAATATCTTTTCAACTTTCCAATTAAGAGTAATTTCGGACTTTCCTGCGATTTCGCATCACATTTCACTTGATCATTTAAAAAAGTAACAAACAACATTAAAGGGCTCGCGTTGCAAACAGTGGAGAAGAGAGAAATAACTTTACGCTATTAACCATATGTTTGTAAGTGAACGAAAATCATAATTACTATTGCTTTTGAAGGCATGAGAATCAAACCGCAATCAAATATGTAATCAGACGAAATGATTTGATGAAATCACTAAAGACACACTCACAGTTTGTATAAGAAAATTATTACCGGATTCATTGGATGCAATGAATCCATGTGCTTATGTTTGCTTTCAAGCGAAATCATTTGATGAAATCATTAAATCGCTCAGCTCACTCCTCAAGAGTACTATTAGTAGATTCATGGCATATTATTCTTTACATGAATGACAAATGGTATTTTTCCCAAGTGTCAAAAATGTATTTAAAACGTCATTTCGTTTGCATGTGAAGCACTCTCAACAAGAGGAAATAGATAATATTCTGCGATAGAATATTACAATGCTCTTTCATATAATTAATAAGAGATTTATATTTATGAACTGACTAATGCAGACATTTATTGAGATTTATACATCGTTTTTCTTTTTTTTAACAGTAAAATGTCTGTTGATTCTCTTATATTTAATGTATATGCCTACACATATAAATATTTAACTAATGCACAGTACGGGCATTTCATAAAAGTTTACATACCAAAATATTTTAATATATTAATAAAGTAAGCAATTAGTTTAAAAAATATTCGTGTACATACAACATTAGGAAACGTGGCTACAAAAAACTATTATTTCTCTTATTTAATATTATTTTTTTCAAGTTAAGAAAAAGCAAACTTTTGGGCACACGTCCGTAAGAAGAATAAATACAGCATCAAAGACCAGTTACCAAGACTATTGTCTGTAGGCCTTTGCTAACAGCAGACCCAGAAAACCAATTTATTGGCCTAACTTGTGCAGCAACAATTTTTGAATGCTACTACTTCTGTTTTCAAAAATAATAAAAACGAAATAGATTGTTTGCTCGTTATTTAAACGTGAACCACAAAAAGATCCGACGATAGAAAATTTTCATTTATATCCTGTGGGTAGTTTTGCAGCACCTGTACAGGAAAGAAAAATTCGGAGACCCTAATGTCTGTACATTGTTGATGCCAATGCCAACCGTTCTGGATATGTTTGTCAGTCCGTCTGTCCATCTGTCTGCTAATTGCTATGGTAAACGTGCACATCCTTCGTTTCACACGGACGATATAAAATTTGAGTTTTTTTCTAAAAAAATTGCAAAACTCAGCCATGCCCACTTGATATTGTATGTAGAGTATGGACATTTAATTATATCTTCTTTTTTTTTTCCTTCTAAGAATAACGGTGATGGATACAAAAGATTCGATCGCATTCGAATATAACTTTCTTACTTGTTTTATTTTTTTTACGTTTGCCGAACGCTTTCAGCGAACAAACTTCTTCAAACAGTCAGTATGTCAACATTCAAGCAAGATAATACATTGACAGGCAATCCCAACAACAACAAAAAAAAGACAAATGTTTGTTGTAAGACTTTGAGATGACGAGCTATTGTGACAGATATGGGCATTAAAACCTACATTAGTCTTAGCCCGTTAGGAAACAAGGTGCAAATTAGGCTCGGATTCGAATAAAAAGAGAAATATTAAACTGAAGAGAAAACTTAATGTTACCTCCGCTAAGCAGACTAAGACTCTTTATTTGATGGTAAAAAGTAAAAAGTAAGAGACTTCAGAGTTTTTTAAAAATCATGCATTCATTGACTGGCTTCGTTGCATTCAAACATGAATACCATCAACCATGAACAATGGAAAGATAACCAACCACTTCAAATGAAAAAACGCAAAATTTAAATCAACGCAGAACAATAACAAACAAGTAATAAAATTAAATTCGGTCGTGACCGAATCTTTATACCCATCACCGTTATCCTAAAAGAGGCAAACCACTAAATTTCCATGCTTTGTAATATGGAGAGGATGCAGAGCTGATTTTTTCTATTTTCAAAATAAAAGCTTTTGTGAGACGTGTGGGCTTCGTAGACGTGTCACTGGAAAGCTTAAATCAGTTGGGTGGACGGACATGTGCAAGTGAAACTGATCAAAAATTTGTACACTTGATGGGGTTTTGAAACTCGTTTCTGAGCGTCATAAAGGTATTGGAAAAAACATTAAATTTTGATGCACTATAATGTTGGGTAGGCATGGCCAATTTTTACTATTTTTCTACATTTCAGTACCTATTCAAATGATTGCAGATTTATCTGCCGTTGTTGAAATACAGAGATTTTCCCATTTTATTCCAAGCGTCTGCCTCGGCCGATATCGACCATTTTCAATACAAAACTGACAGACAATTGGACATACGGACATGCTTAAATCGATTCAGAATTTGATGCTGATCAAGAATAGATGTACTTTGTTAGGTCTCTGAAGCTATGTTCTGGGCGTCGCAAACATTTTGACAAAATGAATATACCTCTCATCCTTCGCTGACGGGGGATACAAAAATGAAAGAAAAATCTATTTGCTAAAAGAAACAGAGAAATATCTAGTAAAAGTTGAGGCAATGTAATGTGCATTGACTTGAATACGAACCTAAACACTCCAAAATGCGATGACAAACAACTTATTTTGAGATTCACTTATCAATGTGCCAAATCAGCATAATTGCATTAGATTCAGTTATTCGGTACTTGAACATTCATCGCCCCTTTTCTATTGGCTGAGTCACAATATTTTGATTGCTCAATAATTATATAAAACAATAATTAAGTGGTAAGTGAAGAAATTTCAGCTATAAGTGGCTATATAAAAATTAGGTGTATAAGTAACCGTTTATTTATATAAGCTAAACTTTTTTCTGATCTTATAAGAAACGGTAATCGAATTGTTTTAATCTAGGGCACATTTCTTTCCGATGATCGTGTAACCAAACGAATAGCTGAAGCACCTCGACATTAAGTTGCTTACTAATTGTCGTTACGCAAAGAAAAAAAAAAATTTTTTTTTTCATTTAGCTATTTATGCTACATAACTACTTGCAAGATCGTATTACTGCAATCAAATGAAATAGATCGCTCAAGAAGAAACTTTTGAATATAGATGAAATGTGCGCCCAAGGGTGAGAACATGCTAAGCTACAAAATATAGTCAAAAAGTATTCAGCAAATGTTTATTTGTTAGGCTCTGTTTTATGCGCGAAAAGCCGATAAAGCGACTCCGAAACCTCGTGAAGATGTCTGAAGCTAGAGAGACGGTAGAGAAAGCTTTTCAAGTTTCAAACCTTTGCAAAGAATAGCTTCAGGATAATATAAACAAGATTAAGCTCAATTAATCTGAATAACTTTTACTTTCCCAAATAGCAAATTCTTCGAGATATTGCAATATATACATAAGTACGCTATGGAGATGATAAAATTGTTTCTGTAGTTTAACTTTCCCTTTGGCCCTGTTGAACCCATATAGTCTATGGACAACCCCAGGGTGTCGTATTGGTGCTATTGCCTCCATAAAATCTGTTTACAACGTCATCTTATCATATTGATCCTATTGAATCCATATAATCTGTTTAAACGTCATCCTATCACACTGACCCTATTAAATTCACATAAAATGTCTGCAACGTCATCCTATTGTATTGGTGCTATTGAATCCACATAATCTATCTACCAAGTCATGTCTGAAAAAAGGTAACTTTTTAAAATCTTAACTACTGCGAATGGTCCCTCAGGCGTGATCGCATTAACTTAAGTATATAACATCATATATGCAAATCGAAAATGATGGCGTCTTCTTTTTAATAATAAATCTTTGAATATTATCACTACCAACCCAGAGCACTTTCTTGGACACGAACATAACAAATGTTTATTACGTCTGAAATACCTCTAGAAAACAAGATTGGTTATACCAAGGTGCTTTGGAGAATATTGAATTGTTTTACAAATCGAAATCGAAAAGATATCATAAAATTTATCTAAAACGTGTTATTATAATCGCTTATAGTGACAGTACGAGAAAACAAGAAGAAAACGATACGAATGGATTATTGGACCAATGTGATCATGAAAATACTAGAGATGATTTCAATTTATTTAGGAAGAGAAATGGATAAAGAAGCAAATATTTCAAGCAAAGTTACAAAGATTTTAAATTAAAATATAACAAACGACATGAAGAATGACGAGTTTGCTTGTTCAATATTATGAATAGATAATACGTGAACAATTAAACGGTGTGCGCTTGTTTGTTTGAAATATAAATACAACTGTTTCGATAGTTCTCATTGCAAATAACAAATAACTTGGAGGTGTTGCATTATTTACAATAAATAAACAAAATTTAATTTAATTTATGAGAAAATAAAAAAAAAAAAAAAAAAAAAAAAAAAAAAAAATTTTTGTTTAAATTTTATATGCAATACTATCTAGATCAAGCAACTTTGACTTTACATCGATTGCCATACCACCGTACAAGCTATTAATACATTAAACATATAACCCTCACTATATGAAGGCCTTAATCCACCATAAAACAATAGCTCAATAAGAAAATATGATACGGTTTCGTTATCTATCTGAAATGATATTTCAGAAATAATTGATCAGAAAACGAATAAAAAAGAGATAAATTAATTTTCCATTTCTTATCAAGCTCTCCTTTACACTTTCAGGTGGTCAAAATGATGGCAGCCGTATAACATTTGGTGAAAGCACCGATGCTATCAGTTCCATTGCATCTCCCAATGTGCCATGTGCCCAAGGTATGTTTCGTTGTAATGATGGGAAATGTATTACTTCTCTGTGGGTTTGCAACTATCAAAAGGATTGCGACGGGGGCGAGGATGAACAACAATCTTGTCGTATGTATTTCACTTTTATACACGATTTTAATCATTATTTGTGTTAAAAAAAAAAAAATAAATAAATAAAATATTTACTCTTCTTATGTTTTATTATTGCTCCTTTAGCACCACCCGAATGCGAGGGCGGTCAAATTAGTTGCAGCCAATACATCTTCAATAAAACTTACTGTCTGCCGCCACATTTTCGTTGTGATATGACTGACGATTGCGAAGATAAATCGGATGAAGCCCAATGCAGTAAGATTTTATCTTTTTTTTTTTTCTTTGTTTTTGCTATTAACTGTTTTTTTGTGCAATTAAGTGGCATTTTAATTACAAATTGATATCAATCGCTCTTAAATGAAATTAAGAAGCGGAAAATTATTCACATTCGATCTTGGTCGAATATCTTGATAGCTACTACTTATCGCAAACTCTATGCGAATTATATTAAAAGTAACAGACAAATATATATATTGGAATTAATTGGTTCGATATACTAAAGGAAGGTTTTTGCATAAATACGTAACAAAACACATGCATACTGGCATTAAAAGCAAGTAAAAACGATATGTATTTAGGCAGAAGTGATGAATCAATTGTGATAACAATTATTGAGGTTCAATGTTTACGATATCTGTCGGAAAATTCGATTTCTTAGCCCATAACGCTGCCTGTCATTTTTAAAAAATAGATTTATGTGAAAATAGATTTCTATACACAACATGTACATGTAATAATTCTCGCCAATCTATACAATCAACTAATCTAACAAAATGGATAAAGCGATTAAAATCGATTTAAATTTCATACTGAGAAGAGAAAAGTGTAATTTAAGTAAGTGAATAGTAAGTGAAGAAGACTATTGCGTCGATTCGATGAAATGAAATGAAAAAGTTAATATTTCACTCAGGTATATTATTTCCTAAAGACTAAATGTTGAACGACTTTCTTTGCAATAGTATGATGCTTGCTTGCCTGTGTCAATAAATTTGAATACATATTTATTTAATGATTGAAATTTATTTCAGTTTTAATTTAAATAATTTATTTTTAATTGCTTTCATAATATATTCAAAGTACAGTAAACGGCGTCATTATCATTGTTATCATTATGAATTTAAATATATAAACATAACATATACATATATATATATATATATATATATATATAAGTGACGAGTCTGGCGATGCGATAGTGGCGCAAAAACTGCGTACAAAAAAGAAGCAGTCAGACGTATAAGTGGTATTTATTGTAAATATTAATTAATTATTACTCATGCGTTGTGTACGTCATATTGTTTTTTATTTGTATTATGTCTTTTTCTGTCCACGCATTGCATTGGTGTGCATTTCCTCTCTCTTTCGATATTCCAATTGTAATTAAGAAAGATTATAATATATGTGTGTGTGTTTATGTGTGTGTGTTTATGTGTGTGTGTGTGTGTGTGTGTGTGTGTTTGTTTGTTTGTTTGTATGCGCATTTTATAAATTTTTAATAGTAACTGCTTTTGTAAATACAAAACTTTATTGAATATTATTTAAATACTACACAATTCATTTTGTGAAAATGCGATTAGGGCAAAGCGATAGGCAAATCGAAAATGCATTCGCGGCCAAGATAGCAATATTTGCGATCGTATTTTTGGGATTGGGATAATTACCATCAAAAAACAACAAAAAAAACTTTAGAATATAGTCCGCAATTGAAATCTACTCCTATTTAAATCAACATATCTTATGTAAAAAGGTATCATTACTAAAACGCATGAGAGAAACAATGAAATCAAAACCGCAGTGATTGCAGACATAAACTAACTACGTAAACTCACTGCAATGCACAACATATCTATCTATTAACGAATAATGAATATTTGTGAATGCTGAGCGAAATACAGATGAAACGTGAACAGGATACATAAAGAACTACCTACGAGAATTACATTCAAAAATTTCAATTAAATGCAGCATTATGAATGACGAACTATGCAGAAAAGCTGTTGAGACACATTCCCAATTTAACATTTTCTAAACACTTAGGCTGAAACCCAGAATCGGATTTTTATAGAACATTCGGATTCGTAGCAAAATTTTTGTTAAATTTTGCAAAATACACTCCATAAACATCATAGCTACAAGTCATGGCATTACAGTTAACAGAAACTCATTTCTTCTCGAGCAAAACAGCATGGTTTTCTTCGGAAACATAAATTGGAAAAATTCAGAGGTTTCTGGCATTTGCGTAAGAGCAAATGATGTAAAGAAATTCAATTTAAATTTACTTAACGAAATTATTACACATTCTGATTAACATTGAATTACATGAGATAGGCCTTAATAGTACTGCTATAAATCATTCAACGATTCCATGAATTCAGAAACACTGTGTTTTCTGATATTTGATAATTAGTGACATCTGCAGACCTATGTTACTTCTGTTCACCTTTATAAGACAATACTCCGCATATTTTTCATTTTAATTTCATATTACATCATGAATTTCATAGCGCATTACGTGAATTATGTTACATGATTTGTGTTTCTTCATTATTATCAGTGTCAAAGGATTGCACGATATATTCATGCTTTTTTACATATTTGTTCTATTTGTCAATTCAAATAGCAATTCGTTCGCAGCTACGCTCACTCAACAATCATAAGACTTTTATCTACAATTCGGAGCAGGCGTTGACGTATAAATGGATATAAACACTTACAGAGTGCAATAACTTCTTTAGATGCTTCAATTGACAACTTCAGTCTGCCTAAACAGTAACGCTAACGTCGACGCATAAATAACACAAAATACTGTCATTGGTAGAATACGATTGTTCTTCTTCATTCCGCTTAAAGGGAGAAAAAAAGAAGTCGATTAAACCTAAGAATAGTTGCTAGTTTAATCGGCCTCGGCAGACATGGTTAGGTCCAAAGAGATAGAGAGAGAGAGAGAGAGAGAGAGAAAGACAGAAAAAGGGATAGGGAGCGAGCGTTGAAAGTTTGGCTTCTTAACCAAAACCACGCAAAATGACTATAACCATAATGACAGTGTTTCGCAAACAGTCTTCAAGTTAGCACAAGCAGGCATTTCGCCGTTCAAAAGGTTTTTGCGAGCATCGTCTGCATGCCAACACCCAAACGAAATATTAAACTCTGCACTTCCGTGAAAAGAATCGAAATTATTCTACCGCATCGACTCTGAACTTACTTAACACTACCGCACGCTGATATCCTAAGGACATCAAAAATCAGGATCACAAATATCACCACTTTACATAATAGTGTAGGCATGAGAGCTTTTTTCCATATGGATATCGTTTTTATCCAGAATGGTATAAGTGTATCGTGTGACAAGATAGAATGAATTGATTGATGTTTGGATCGCTACCCTATTCACAGAGCTGTTCACATCTGGCCGACACCTGCTTGCAAATCTCATAAGAATATTCCAAAGAGAAGGATTTAGATCGAATGACGAGGTCCGTGGAAGACCTGAAGTGTATTTTGAGTGTATTCACAATTTATTCTACAGAAAAAGGTATCGAGTGATTAGATTAACTAAGCGACCGCACTTGAAAGAAACTGTATTAATGAATTAAGTCGAGTTTTGTGTGCAATTTTACATTTTTTTTTAGTCACGAGAATTATTGATCGATATATTATTTAAATTTGGGATTCTAATTAAAACTCATATGTTTTTTTTTTCAATTTGCTTTCGAATTAATATTTTTCAATTCTAATTAAAATTGATATTTCAAATGTCTTTATAAATTAACACTTCCACTTTCGGGAATGAAAATAAACAGTCAACTATGATGCACCAATTTTCACCATGTAACGTTGAAAATTATATCCTTCCACGGGCCACCAAAACTTTCATATCAATTTCGAACGTCAAAATACTATTACTTATCGCGAATTTTGAAAATTTTTGAGGTTGTTGTGAATGTGGTCGAAAAGCTGGACCAATCCCAACCATTTTCCATAGCGTTTGTTGTTGGCTCAAAGCACATCAGTGTACCAAATTTCATCAAAATGTCTCAAAAATTGCGATCTGTTGGCTAAACAAAAGAATACGAGACAAACCGACAGAAATATGTAGCGCTCTGTATTCACGGTAACTGCAATGCCACTTTTGCCTTGAAAAACATATTTTTCTTCTGAAAATGGAAAACTTTTTTTTTTATTTATAAAACGAATTAAATAAATACGAACTTAATCTCGCATGCGCAAAACGGAGCTGAAATGGGTTTGTAATCAACTACCTGTTCGCACTTACATTTAATTATTAGATCCGCGCATATCTATCCTACGCTTGTGAACCCTCACGGTAGGCACCTCATACACCTCAGTTCCAAGCTGAAAATGGGTCATCAACACATTTTCGGACAAGTCCAACACTGCAAATTTGCTCATCCACTAAACATGACTGCATCGAACTGAAGTAATGGTAATCAGGAGGAGGCACATCTGGATAATACGCGTCAAGCTTCATTGTTTTTTTTAATAAATTTCAATAATTTCTATACGCTGTGCAACTGTGTAATTTTTCGCGGTAACCTGCAAAGAAAATAATGGACAGAATAACGACGGAAAAAATATTCATTACTAATTGGTTCACCCTATACATTATTGAACTGTTTAAATCGCGTTATAGTCTTACATGAAACATTTGCAATGTTCCATATATATATTTTTTTATCTAATAACGTAAGCTTCGTATCGTTTATATCCGATATTTTTGGCACAGTATTTTCCGTATTTGCTTTGTTCGCATTTTTCATTGTTAGCTATATTTAAAGATATAAATAAAAATCGTAGGTGTCTTTACATCTTTCGCTTAACCAAGCTGAATTTCAAAAAAACCCGAGTGACGAAATCGGAATACCGTGGTCTGAAGATAAATGCCTGCATTTTCTACGTATGCGAACATAAGCGGAAAAAGTTGGTTATATTTTCAATGTACGATTACAAGAAATCGGGGGATTTGACCTATCTTGACAAAATTATACAGTATTGAACGCTGTATCAATCCACATCGATGTACGCTGCGCAAAAATCGCTACGAGAACATTCATAAAATATCTTATCCAAATACTCAGCTATAGCGCGAGCAGAAAATGTTTTGAGAAACGCCATATAAAAAATATACCCGCATAAAATATAGTCATTTGACAAAATCTGGCAAGGTAGTCCGAAAGACAAATTAATAAAAAAGTAACACCTCCTCCATTGATCTCATCCAAATAACCAACAGAAAA